TGGAACGTATGGACTGACTTAATGGAAGAGTTAGGAAGCCAGGACTGTCTGCTCAAGTTTGAGAACCACTGCCCTGACCTTACTTGACCTGACCTGGTTATCTCTGGCTAGTCACTAGGTTTGAAAACCTTGACAATAGTACTTCAAGAGTTACATGACTCAGCCTCTCCTCTCCTTTGGTTTTGCCTCTTGGCCAACATTTATTTTATTTCCTCTGTATCTCAGTTCCAGAGGATCTGATTGGTGCAGTGTTGTTATCAACACTCATTTTAGGCAAAGCTCTGGAGCCAGGTCAGCTCACAGGCCACCAGCCAACCTCTAGAGTGGCTGCCCTGAGGTCCCATGCCCACCCATGGTCCAATCAGCCATGGCCAGAGAGCTGTGGCTCCAGGGAACCCCATGGGCACTAGTGCTTAATGAATGGCTTGGAGCTATTTCTTGCAATAAGGGATTGTATGGAAGGCTCTCCCTAGAGAGGGGCTGTTGGTCCCTTGCTTTTATCACCTAGAAATGCTGAATGATCTAGCAGAGACATGACCTCTTCTAACACAGGTCCAAGACTGAGTTGGTTTGTACCGATAACTGTGAAGCTGTTACAACTAAAGTCCCTTAAATATTAATGTGTCTAAATAACCGTAGATGACTGGATGTTCACTGACCTATTATCTTCCTCTCCAACGAACATATCATGTCAGGCCCTTGAGGGAAGGATCAGCACCCCAAATATTCCCTAGCACACAGTGAGTGCTCATTAAGTATTTGTTAAATAAATGAATGGATGGATGAGTGAGAAAAAGGAATCCACCTGGACCCAGAGATTATCATACAGAGTGAAGTAAGCCAGATAGAGAAAGACACATATTGTATGTCATCACTTATATATGGAATCTAAAAAAAAAGACACAAATGAACTTACGTACAAAATAGAAACAGACTCACAGACATAGGAAAAAAGCTTATGGTAGCCAAAGGGGAAAGGGGATGGGGGGATAAATTAGGAGTATGGGATAGACAGATATACATCACTATATACTAGAATTCACTGTATAACACAGGTAACTTTATGTAACATCTTGTAATAACCTATGAGAGAAAAGAATTGAAAAAATATATATGTATAACTGAATCATTTTGTTGTACACTTGAAAGTAATACAGTATTGTAAATCAACTACACTTCAATTAAAAAAAAAATCCATCTATTTGTAGGATTAATGCAAAAAAAAGCCAACAAAAACCAATTTTTGAATTCTTGTATTCAGGGTCCCAAATTTAAAACTTTTGATTCAACAGCCTATATAAATATAGGCTGTTGTTTAGAACATTTTATACAGTTTTCAAACGAAGGAGCATATATAACAACATTCCTGGCAGCTTTGTGTAAAACAGCTAATGGTTACGGCCTAAATGACTCTCTATAGGAGCTTGGATAAATAAATCACAGAACCAAAAAAATAGAATAGTTTGGAGTTGTTTAATAATTTTAAATGAATTTCCTCAGAAGTGTGCAAAAGGTGTTTGCTACCGTTGCTTCATTTCACTGATTAAACAAACTAATTTACTCACCCTTGTCGGCAGGTTGCAGCGAAATGAAGAAAGAAAAATTCCAGCCATGTTGTCATATTTAAGAAGCAGCTTTTCAATTAAAAATAACCTGAAACATAGTATTGCACATCAATTGTATTTCAACTGAAATAAAAAACAAAGCAGCAGCTTAAATATTTTCTGATATGGAATAACCTCTGAGATGTATTTGTGAGCAAAGAAAAGCAAGATACTGACAGCATATGGCACCATTTATGTAAATTTAAAGGAGACTGAGGTACAGAATATCTTCTTATGTATACGTATAAAATATAAAACATACATAAGAAGCCTGTAAAGGAATTAAAATGTTGCCTTTGAGGAGGGCACTGAGAAGTCTGGAATGGAGACTCCCTTTTCACTGTCTACCCCTTCATACTGTTGCCATTTTTAAGAAAAACACATGTAATTTTACTTTTTTTAGTTTATAGTATCTTTAAAAAATTTTTTTATTGACGTATAGTCAGTTTACAATGTTGACTTAGTTTCTGGTGTACACCATAGTGATTCAGATATACTTATATATTCCTTTTCATATTCTTTTTCATTATAGGCTATTAAAATACATTGAGTATAGTTCCCTGTGCTATACAGTAGGACCTTGATGTTTTTCTAATTTATATATAGCAGTTAGTATCTGCAAATCCGAAGCTCCCAATTTATCCCTCCCCGTCCTGCCTCCCTGCTGGTAACCATAAGTTTGTTTTCTATGTCTGTGAATCTGCTTCTGTTTTATAAATAAGTTCATTTGGCTCATTTTTTAAGATTCCACATATAAGTGATATCATATGGTATTTTTCTTTCTTCTTTCTGGCTTACTTCACTTAGAATGACAATCTCCAGATCCATCTATGTTGCTGCAAATGGCATTATTTTATTCTTTTTTATGGATGAGTAGTATTCCATCTATATATATATACCACAGTTTCTTTATCCAGGCATCTATCCATGGACACTTAGGTTGCTTCCATGTCTTGGCTATTGCAAATAGTGCTGCTGCGAACACTGGGGCACATGTATCTTTTTGAATTCACATGTATTTTTACTTATTCCAAGTCTCAGTAATATATTTAAGGTATTAATTCTTAGAAGATTTCACTTAAAAAAAAACTAAGAGAAGATGGATCTTACAAAAATCGCACCTGCATTCTTTTTTGCATTTTTAAAAAAAATGTGACTTTAGTTTTGTTTAAACATATTTTTAATTGAGTTATAGTCATTTTACAATGTTGTGTGCACCTGCATTCTGATCTACATGCTGTTATATTTTTGGAGGACAGAACATTGCTTCTGGATTTCTATCACCCGCACCATCTAGGATGACTTGGCCACCAAATACAGAAGTCTCAGTTTCAATAATAAGCAGAATGTATGGACTCTCTTTGTGGAAGAGTCCAGAAACAGGGCAGGATTCCAGTGCGACTTCGTTCTGTGATTCACAATGTTTTCAGGGCTCCACTGCTCTTTTCAGTCGATTCTCTCAACTTTGGCCTCCTCTGAATTAGCACCGGTCCCAGACTGGCACGCTCTGTTGGTGGCAAAAATTACCACTGCCGTTCCAGGCCCTGGAGCTGTCAACCCCATGACAGTCCAGCGGGAAGGGGCACCTGTCCCAGCCTTCTCAGTGCAGTGCCTGAGGTTCACTCCACAGACCAGCCTGTGTCACACGTGCAGCCCGGAATCAGCAACTGTGGCCAGTGAGCCAAATGGGCCGCACCTGGGTTCCCTGCCCCGCCCTGAGGACAGAATTCACTTCCCTGGAACCACAGGTGGTCTCAGATGCACGATGAGGACGGTAGGGCAGGAGCAACCCGGGAGTGGAAAGTGGTCCTCCAAAAGTTGATCTTCAGGTTTACAAAAATGAGGACCTGGCTAAACCTCTGCCCTTTATCCCACAGTGGTGCTACACCCCTCTCCCTGCTTTTTTTCCTCACAGTGAAGATGCCTTGACAATCAGTCTACTGGCTGGGCAACAGTATCTTAGATAATACCACACATGTTCTCGAAATAAAAGAACAACCTTGTTTTCTTATCTGACCGTTTTCCTCTCTAAGGCCCATCCTAGAAGTGCTCCATGGCCAAGCAAGATGAGAACGTCGTCTTTGTAATGACGAAGGTAGAAAAGTACCATTTGGACCCTGCTTCTCAGTGGGAGGCGATCTCCATGGTCACAGTCAGCTTTTATCCATGATTTTGAAACAGAAACCACAGCTTTGAATACTGCCGAGTTTTCTGGCCTTTTCTAAACCCAGAATCTGGCAGAGCCAACCACTCACAAAATGCGAGCTGCCTGTTACTACTGAGGTTTTTTGGCTGATTGTTAGATGGCTGGTTACCTGTTAGCTAGCCAGCCAGTCCACAATACAAACTGTGCCCTTGCTGGGGGCCATGCCTGGAGTAGGAGCTGGGGATACAGTCACGAAGGAGACAAGGTCCCAGCTCCTTGGCACGTGCTCCCGCAGGGAAGGCAGACAGTAAACATATTTACTTAAATAGTTAATTATAAACTGCAGAAGCCCTGTGTGATTTGTCCCCTGCTCATACCCTCCAGTTTATCAAGGATGCTTTTCCCCTCATGCTCTGCAAGGCAGACGCCTGGATCTTTTATGTCTTAGAACCAGCCCTGTTCCCATCCACCCCTTTGAACACACATCGTTCCCTTTACAGGAAATACCCTCCCTAGTACCCCACAGTCTCATTCCCCTTCACCAAGTTAACCTCTCTTTCTTCTTGGGATTTCAGTTTAAACTATATTTCCTAAGGGAACCTTCCCTCAGATTCGATTGGTATCTTTATAGGATCTTCCAGCCCCGTCTGTGTTTTCCGCCTGGCACATCGGGTCTTCAGAATGACATACCTATTTGGGAGATAACTGATTACTATCTGTCTCCACAACCAGACTCTACATTCCAAGCAAGTAAAAGCAGTATCTATTGTATTTGTATTTCCATGCCATACCAAGCACGCTGTACCCCAGGGCCTTTGGCTGTGCTGTGCCCTCTGCCTGGAACACTGTCTCCTGGACAGCCATCTGGCCCACTCTCTCATTTCCTTTAGGTTTCTGCTCAGATATGAACTTTCCATGAGGCCTTGCCTCCCTTATACAAAATAACAGTCCTAACTCTGGGCGTCACAATTCCCTTTTCCGCATCCTGCAAAGGAACTTGACTACTCAAAGACTCTTCATTTCTGTATTGCTTCACTAAAATGTAAGCTCCATGAGAACACAGCTTTTGTCCATTTAGCTGACAACTTTTTCCTTCGAAGCTCATCTACCTGATAGGTATTAGGTGCTTCATAAATACCTACTGAATGAATGGCTGAATTGGTACCTAGTACTTAGCACACTGTTGGCACATGGTAGGCACTCAGGGAAATATTTTTGAGTGAATGAATGCCTGAATGAAAAAGTATAGGTGCCACTAAAACAAATACAGGACATTTAATAGTTGGAGAAGTCACATAAGGTATACAGAAAATAAGGGGTGTTTCAGCCACTTTGCGTTCATCCAATACAGGCAGACCTCAGAGACACTGCGGGTTTGGTTTCAGACTGCACAATAAAGCAAACATTGCAATAAAGCAAGTCACACAAATTTTTTGGTTTCCCAAAGCATATAAAAGTTATGTTTACACGGTTTCAAGTCCATTAAGTGTGCAACATCATTATGTCCAAAAAAACCAATGTACATACCTTAATTAAAAATATCTGATTGCTTAAAAATGTTAACCATCATCTGAGCCTTCAGCAAGCCATCCTCTTTCTGCTGGTGGGGGATCCTGCCTTGATATCAATGGCTGCTGACTGATCAGGGTGGTGGTTGCTGAAGGCTGAGGTGACTGTGGCAATTTCTTAAAATAAGGAAACAATGAAGTTTGCCTCGTCAGTTGACTTTTCCTTTAATAAACAAATTCTCCGTAGCACTCAATGCTGTTTGATAGCATTTTAGCTGCAGTAGAGTTTCTTTCAAATTGGAGTTAACCTTCTCAAAACTTGCTGCTGCTGTAATCAACTAAGTTCATGTCGTATCCTAAATCCTTTGTTGTCATTTTGACGATCTTGACAGCATTGTCACCAGGACTGGGTTGTATCTCAAGAAACCACATTCTTCACTCATCCATAAGAAGCCACTGCTCATCTGTTGAAAGTTTTGTCCTGAGATTGCAGCCATTCAGTCCCATCTTCAGGCTCCCCACTCTAATTCTAGTTCTCTTGCTATTTCTACCACATCTGCAGTTCCTTCCTCCTCTGAAGTCTTGAACCCCTCAAAGTCTGCCATGAGGGTTGGAATCAACTTCTTCCAAACTCCTGTTAATATTGATATTTTGACCTCTTCCCATGAATCATGGATGTTCTTAATGGCGTTTAGAATGGTGAATCCTTTCCAGAACCTTTTTGATGTATTTTGCCTAGATCCACCAGAGGAATCACTATGTATGGTGGCTATAGCCTTATGAAGTGTATTTCTTAACTAATAGGACTTGAAAGTCAAGATGACTCCTTGACCTGTAGGCTGCAGAATGGATGCTGTCTGTGCTAGCAGGCACGGAAACAATGCGAATCTCTCTGACCATCTCCATCAGAGCTCTCGGGTGACCAGGTGCATTGTCAATGAGCAGTACTATTTTGAAAGGAATCCTTTCTGAGCAGTAAGTCTCATCAGTGGCCTTAAAGTAGTCTGTTAACATGTTGTTAGCAGATGTGTTGTCATCCAGGCTTTGTTGTTCCATTGATAGAGCACAGGCAGAGTTGATTCAGCATAAATCTGGAGGGCCCTAGGATTGTCGGGATGGTAAGTGAGCATTGGCTTAAACCTCAAGTAATCAGCTGCATTAGCCCATAACAAAAGAGTCAGTCTGTCCTTTGAAGCTTCGAAGCCAGGCTCTGACTTCTCCTCTCGAGCTATGAAAGTCCTAGATGGTTTCTTCCAATATACAGCTGTTTCACCTACACTGAAAGTCTTCTATCTAGTGTAGCCATCTTTATGAATTATCTTAGCTAGATCTTCTGAATAACCTGCTGTAGTTTCTACATCGGCACTTGCTGCTGCATCTTGCACTTTTATAGAGATGGTTTCCTTCCTGAAACCTCATAAACAACCACTGCTGGCTTCAGACTTTTCTTCTGCAGTTTCCTCACCTCTCTCAGCCTTCATAGAACTGAAGAGAGTTAGGGTCTTCCTCTGGATTACGCCTTGGCTGAATGAGATGTTGAGGCTGGTTTGATCTTTTATCCAGACCACTAACACTTTCTCCGTATCAGCAGTAAAGCTCTTTGACTTTCTTATCATTTGTGCGTTCACTGGAGGAGCCTTTTTAGTTTTCTTTAAGAATGTTTCCTCTGCACTCACAACGTGGCTAACTGGAGCAAGAGGCCTAGCTTTCGGCCTATCTCGGCTTTTGACACGGCTTCCTCACTAAGTAATCATTTCTAGCTTTTGACTTGAAATGATTCATGTGAGATTCTTCACTTGAACACCAGGAGGCCATTGTAGGATTATTAACTGGCCTAATTCCAACATTGTTGTGTCTCAGGGAACAGGGAGGCCGGAGAAGAGGGAGAGAGATAGGGGAACAGAAGGCTGGTAGAGCTGTCAGAATACACACAACATTTACCAGGTAAGTTAACCACCTTACATGGGCACAGTTTGTGGTGCTGCAAAACAATCACAATAATAATATCAAAGATCGCTGGTCACAGATCACCACAACAAATGTAGTAACAGTGAAAAAGATCAAAGAACTGCAAGAATTACCAAAATGTGACACAGAGACCTGATGTGAGCAAATGCTGTTGGAAAAATGGTGCCGATAGACTTGCTGGAGGCAGCGTTGTCACAAACGGTCAATTTATAAAAAAATACAAGAAAATGAGGTTTGCCTGTAGGTCAGAGGCCACTCAAACTTTGTTATAGTTGTTGGTAGGACGTGAATGTTCCAGCAGGAAAGGAAACTCTGTTGAAGCCTTCCCTCCCCAGATACCCATCAGACCCACCGCCCTGCTCCTCACACAGTCACTCAGCTGCCAGCTTTTGTTGTCCTACGGTTTCTTGCCAAGAGCAGAGACTGAAACTCTCCCATAGAGCAATTAGCGTCAGGGTTGACCAACTGGAAGCCAAACCCTGCAGCTATTTCCCCGCATTCTTCAACTCCCAGGGGGGACTCTGAGAGGATGAGGAACAGAGCTTAGAGGGCAGGGTTCTAGAAGTTTCTTTCTCTTACTTGAGAGAGGCTGAGCTGTGTGGGTGGAGGAATTGTATATGGTATAGAGCAGACAGTGCTCTGTCTGAACCTTTGGGAGACAGATTTCCTCTGCCTCTTTAAACGTTTTGGACTTTGGATTACTAATGATACTAAAGGAACTATATGGTTTCTTCTGAAGCTGTGTCAGGATATGCTCCACAAATTACCTGGGAGGATGCCATATGCAAATACAAGAAGAAATAGCAGTCTTGATATTCATGGTGACAGCTTTGTTATTCTCAAGGGGAAGGGAAGAAGAAGTAGGTATCTTTTTTCTTAATAAAGTCTTCCCTAGCAACTCCCAGATTCCACGACTGTTTTTACTTGGTACCAGGTTGGGACCAGCCCAGAAATTTTTGTAACAGCAATGTAGCCTAAATTTCAGTATCACCTCACATAATAGTTACAGTGGACTGCTCAACTCCTTTGGAAACTGCTTTAAAGATCTGTTCACAGGATACTTTTCCTGGGTTGTAGAAGGCCACATATGGTGATGAAAATATGATTGTTATCTCCCCAAACCCTGATCACTTTGTTTCTAATGTAATGATCATTGGGAAGACTAGCAACACTCAATTCATATATACACAAGGGAAAAGAAAAACAAAGTATATATTCATCAACATCATTTTTAGGCTCAGTGACAACTTATATAAAAAGTATTTCATTATAATTAACAGCAATAACACACAGTATATGAATGAAGACAGTGAGTCTCAGACAGGTTATAAAATTGGCTGAAGGATAACCAGCCATTATGTGACAGCACAGGGCATTGATTTGAGAGCTGCCAGTTCTGACAGTCCATGCTCTAAATTACAATGCTGTAGTGAGCGCTGGTATTTCTTGTGATATTTAAATTTTTTTCCTTTGTAAGTTGGATTGCGTACCCCAGCACATTCTATATTATTTTAGTAATCACCTGTTTTCAATGGTGTCAGAGTGGTTTTTTTTTTCAATTTAGCTAAAATTCACATCACATGAAGTTTACCATTTTAACCATTTTAAAGTACACAATTCAGTGGCATTTAGTACATCCACAGGGTTGTGCAACCATCATCACTATTTAGTTCGAGAACATTTTCATCATCCCACAAGAAGTCCCGCAGCCATTCACCAGCACTCTTCCTGCCTCCCCCCAGCTCCTGATAACCACTAATTTATTTGTCTCTACAGATTTGCCTATTCTGGACATTTCATATAAATGGACTCACACATTACGTGGAATTTTGTATTTGGCTTCTTTCACTTAACATCATGCTGTCAAGGTTCTACATTATAGCAGATACCAATACTTTGTTCCTTTTTATGGGTGAATAATATTCCATTGTATGGATAACAGCATTTTGTTTATACATTAATTTGTTGATGGACATTTGGGTTGTTTCCATTTTTGGCTATAGTGAATATTGCTGCTATGAACACTCATGTACAAGTTGTACACCTGTTTTCAGTTCTTTTGGATATATACACCTAGGAATTGAATTGCTGAGTCATATAGTAATTCTGTTTAACATACTGAAGGACCATAAAACTGCTTGGCACAGTGTCTGCATCATTTTGCAGCAATGCGTGTTTTAATTTCTTCGCATCTGCACCAACAGTTGTTACTTTCTATTAAAAAAAATTATACCCAACCTCGTGTGGGTATAGTAGTATCTCATTGTGGTTTTGGTTTGCATTTCCCGAATGACTAATGAAGGTAAACATTTCTTTCATGTGCTTCATAGTGTTTTTTTTTAAATAAAAATTTAATTTTAGAATAATTTTAGATTTACAGAAAATTTGCTAAAATTATATAACAATATTTTAATGACATAATCTTCATATCAAATATACTGGAAGGCATCTCTATGCCTTCTCTATTTCTTCCACCTTGTGTTTTTAACTTTTTGATAGAGAAATATGTCATTGAAAACATTATAGTTATTAATGAAGATTCTGATACACTGTTCATTTTTTGTTATAAAATCATTGGGTAGACAGTGTTACAGTGACATTACAAATTAAAAAAACAGTGGTACATAGCACTGTAATTAAGAATATCATCTTTGTCACATCAGGTTTAAATACTGGTTGTGCCATCTTAGGCAAGGTACTTAACTTCTCTGAACCTCAGTCTCTTCCTCTGTAAAGTAGGGAAAGCACCTACCTCACAGTGTCCATGAGGGTCAATTGAGAAAATGTATTGAAAGCACTTATATGCAATGTTCAGCACTCAATAAATGTGAGACTTACTTCATTTGTTTGTTTGCTTGCTTACTTTTTAAAGCACCGAGAAATTACCTAATTTGTCTGTGCTGCCATACTTGGTCAGGATCTACAGGAGACCATCATTCTATCTCTGCAGCCTTCATTCATTCATACATATATTCATTCACTCTTCAAATATGCATCAGGCCCATGTTATGTTTCAAGCTGTGGTCAAGAGGCTGCAAACATCAAAAGCATTAAAAATTATAAGTTTGGAAGCAAAGAATCCTAGGATCAAACCTCAATTGTCACCTCCTAGGTGTGTGATCCTGTGCAAGTTAGATAGTATCTATTTTCTCATCTGTAAAGTGGGACTACTAATACTCCCTGCCTCGTAAAGTAGACAGAATTAAATAAACGCATCATCGGAAACATTTACCAAAGCATTTGGCACACTGAGCGCTTGCTCAAAATATGCTAACTACTAAAGATTTAATATGATAATAAATGAAAAGATTTAGAGGAGTACATGACATATTGTAAATATGTCTCCATATGAATGCTTTGTTTGTTTTTAACCACTGAAAACCGTAAAAACCATTCTTAGTTTGTAGGTAACACAGGGAAAAGTTAAGGAATAAATCTGGCTGTGGGCCATAACCCAAGGCATAGTGCATCATACACAGAAAGGATACATTTAGATTCACAAAAATTTTGTTTCAATCATATATATGTATGTATATGTGCTGATGAAACTAAACGCATTTCTTTTTTTTTCCTTTTTTAAAAATGTATTTCTTACTCTGAACAGCAATCAAAAAATTGGAAAACATTAACCTAGAGAAAGGTCTCAGTTATCTGGAGAGCACTGACAGGAAATGACAGCTTGCCTTAGCAGGTGGATCACATGGCTTTAACAGTTTTAGGCTTTAGTGGTGTCAATTCAAAATGTAAAATCACACCAAGACGATAGGTTAAAATAAAATTAATAACTGAAGGGGAAGTTGGGTCTAATATAAAACAGAGTAACCTAAGGTTTAAAGCAAAAACAAAACAAAAAAAAACAGAGCGAGAGAAGAAAAAAAAAAAGATTTGCTTTCTGTCTAGTTTTTGCTCCCATCACTCAGCTGTGAGTGTTCCCAGCACACTCAGAATTCTAGAGGAAAGGTCACAAGATCAAGGTCAAACATCTCAAAAATGCAGATGCTGTGACTTTGGAAGCAGAAACATTCCCAAGCATATGCCAGCTTGTGCAGTCACGAAAGCAGGGGGCTAACTTAATAATGAAAACTGCAATGACTTCCAACACTTGGCTTAATTCAGCTGTTCCCTGCTGCACGTAAAATCCTTGGGGTACCCAAACTCAGTCAAACTGAACTTCTTAGCCAGGAGTCTCAGGAATGGTCAGGATACAAGCACTCCAAATTTGGGCACTGACTTCCTAGGGGATGTTGCTCATAACCACTCCCTGTTTGGCTAAGGCTCCCTTCACCTGGGCAACAGTCCATAAAAAAGTGCTTAAAATTCAAGGAATGTGCTAAATCTGGAAAGGGAATAATACATTTTTGAGGGTCCGCATTCATCTGGCTACAATATTTTATGGGGAACAATTTTCCAAAGATGGTACAGTTCAAGGAGCAAGGTTGCTCACATTCCAGATTGCTGAGTCACCTTCCAAAACTCCACCTCATGTTTGCTGGATCAGTTTTGTGGCAAGACAGAGTTGTCCTTTATGGAACCATATATTCACACTGTGGGCAACTGTAACCATCTGGGAACTCCATGAATAGCTCCATAAAACACACCTTCAAGTATCATAATGTGATCGTAAAACTGGACTTTGCCCTTCACTTATTAAAATACCATTAAAATAAATTATAGAGGGAGGAGGCAAGAAGTTTTTCTACACGGCTCCTTTAACTTCTGAAGCCATGTTTGCAAATTACAATCCTCCCTTTAAAGAGACGTCCTCTAGGATCACTCTGGGTTCCCAGTTATTGAACTCACCTAGCACTATTGAACTGATCTGTTTTCTTGTCTCAGTACCCAACTAGGAGGTAAGCCAGCCAAAAAAAAAAAAAGGATCTTTTAGTTCTGTACCATCAGTGCCTAGTAGGAGATGATAAAGTAAGTATTTAATCAATATTTGTTGAATGAACAAATGAAAGGAAACAATCTACCAACTGTCATGGGCCATCCTAGAACATTTAATTTTCTTTTTCAGTTTGGCTTCAGAAAAACTTATGGCTCGTTTCAGAATATTGGAAATTGACGTTATGTCGTTTAACAAACCATCTGAGTTAAACAAGTATAACACTTGACTGGCTTCCTTCGTAAAGGGTACAATCCTGCACTGTTGCCAGAGTATCTTCAAAATATCTACAGACATGTGGGCCAACCACTGCAGCTCTGATTGAAATCAAACTCCCACTACTTTTGAATTCTTGGAACCTTTAGTTCACTGTAGAAAAAGCAACCATGACAGGAGCTTACAGAGGAACCCATCTTTGTGGGGTTTCCCTGAGTCGTCTTAGGTCCACACACGCTCTGCCAGACCTGATCAAGCAGCTGATCATGTTGTGACTCACCTGTGTTTATTCTCAAAGGCCCTGAAAAGGAGGCAGACTCCATCTCCACTCTTCACAAATGCAACTGAGAGCTTTTATACAGACGGAAATTTCTCTCATCGCTTTTCCCATCTGTTAGTGAAAATCTCCTTTCTTCTGCCAAAAAGTGAGGACGTCAGATGCATGTGGCTGTCTTTCCTGGTTGTCTGGAGAAGGCCATCTGTAGGTCATAGGGGAGGATGAGAGTAACAGGGAAAAAAGAACCAAGAGATGGAGAGAGAAAGCTGAGAGCATTGCTTAAGTCTTGCTGAAAGCAAGTTTCGCCTCCAGTCTTGCCATTTATATGGGGGAATATATTTTTCCTTTTTCTGTTGTTAGTGGCGGTACTGGGGATTGAACCCAGGACCTCAGACATGCTAATCATGCTCTCTACCACCGAGCTATACACCCTCTTCTACATTTCCTTTTTTTGCTTAAACTAGTTCAGCTAGGTTTCTGTCACTGGCAACCAAAACATCCTAATACAAAGAATTACTTTAGCACCATTCAGAATACTAAATGATCATTAACAGGGCATTGTTTAAATACATTTCGGAACATTCAAAGAAGGGAACATTATTGCGCTGTTGAAAGTGATAAATGTAGGTGATGTTTAAGAAAATTGAGGATACACTGATGAGTGATAAAAGAGTGATAAAAAGAGAAAAAAGATTAATTTATCCCATAAATTAACTATAAATCCCAAGGGGAGACATGGAGAGAGAGAGAGCGAACTTAAGAAAATAGATTGTGTGTGTTTATTTCTATTGGCCAAAGTCCAGGAGGAGATACACCAAAATGTAAAAAGTTGTTATCTTGTGGCAATACAATTTTGAATGACTTAATTTAATGCTGCCTTTTTACTTATCTATTTTTAAAAGTGTTCTGCAAAAACATATTACGAGAATATTTTTTTAAATATGGGCATTCCACCCTTGATTTCAATGTTTAATTGCCTTCTCTCTCATTCAGTTCCATTTCAGTGCAGTAAGTTGTTGAAAATATACAATAAGAAAGAAGATATATAGTGAGTGAACACTCTCAGTAGTAAAATCTTGTATTATTTAAGCATCTACCATGTTCAAGTTACTATATTTTCATACAGTTGGTGGGAGACAAAATAAAAGAGATACAAATACCTATTGCAAAGAAAACACATACACTCTGTTCTCAAGGAAATTAACAATATCATCAGGTATGTTTTCAGTGGAATCACGTGGGGATGACAGGCCACATTGCAGCTGAACATTTGGGACATTTTAGGGGAGATTCCCATGATGGATGCTTGGGTTTCTCTTGGTTCCTCAGACCCAACATTGAATTTCAAAACTTCCAGTCACCAACATTCATTTTTTCCCCCATGGAAGTGAAGCAGAACATTAGCCAGGATTAAGCTCTCTTCCTGGAGTTCCTTCTCTGGGGTATTAAAATAATAGTTCAGATGTGGTGTCTTGAAAAGTCACCAGAACAAAAACTGATTTATTCTTGCCTTGCTGAAAGGACTAAAGAGAGGAGTACTACGGTCAGAAAAAAACCCTAACTGAGCTGCCCCCCTATGAGGAAAAGAACAAATTATCAAGCAGATTATAAAAGTGCCTCTCAGGAGCTGACTAGGAAAGTGGCTCCCACTGTCAGTTTCCTTCTAATCTGAACTGAGGGCTTCAAACTCCTTTGTTGAGCTTCTGCTCTAAATCACCATTTTGGAGTCAGTTACCTTAAGGAATACGAAAGTGTTTATATTGGTATCTATAATGTACACCTCTTGATGGCATTCTTCAGAAATTGCCCCACAGCTGATCAACTTACCATCTTCACATTTTCAAAATGTGGTCAATTACCACTTGAGACTGCAATAATGAATTTCTTTACTCAACTAGAAAACTTGTATAATGGTTTCTTTCCTTCTTTTTTTGCAGAGGGAGGTAATTAGGTTTGTTTGTTTGTTTGTTTATTTATTTATTTATTTTAAGTGGCAGTACTGGGGATTGAACCCAGGACCTCATCCATGCTAAGCATGTGCTCTACCACTGAGCTATATACCCTTCCCCCAAAACTTCTAAAAGAAATGTATTTGGGAGAAAGCAAAGCAAAGCACATTTTATATTTGTGGGTTTTTCTTCCCTTCTGTTTAGTGGAACTAGCTATATAAAAATAAGATCATAATTTGTGCAGAGTGTATCATGTCAGAGTTTACTTCTCATCTGAATCTACTGTGTTTATTAAGAGTTCATTGTTGAAATGCTTCTGGAATAACAGTATAAGGACGTTTGGCAGGTCACCTGTACCACAGCTCACAGACCTCCAAACACTTTAGAAATGTTTGCAAATTAATCCTTTTTACAGTCCAGTAAATTATTCGATCTTCAGAGCTCACAGATGGGGAACAGGAGATTGGATTTTGGAGTAAAACACTGTGGTCCTTCATATTAAAAGGAAGAGATAGGAGAATGACTTAACTGGTACACACCTGCTATGTGGCAGATTCAGGAGTCAAAGAGTGCTGATACCCAAATATGCTAGATGGTGAAATGGCCACATCCTATAGATTCTTAAGTGTAAGTGGTTCTAAGCATGTGCTTTGGGTGGTACCTCTGGGGTCACATCCTATAGCATTATCACTTCCAAGCTCTTGAGTGAGTTTCTTTCCTTGCCTAGCTTCACTGTCCTCAACTGTAAAATGAACATCATTTATGTAAAATCAAGGTCATACCTACTTCATACAATTGCTGGCAATGATTAAATAACACACAACTATCGTGGCACACATGGTAAACCTCAAAGTTAGGTATTTTACGGCATTCTTTTCCCCACTGGAATGTACTGTCAAAGTCATAACATAAGTGAGAGAAGCCAGAACACTAGGATCTCACTTTATATCTATTCAAGAAAAATCTACTTCAAGATAACTAAAAACTCTTTCAAGAAAACAATCTGTAAATACAGGTTCTAGCCACCAAATCTAAATGGGCTTCATGGCAAAAGTCATATATTATACAGCTGAAGGTCACACTTCATCCATGCATTCTTGCATTCATTTATCAAGTGTATATGGTGTACTCTCCCCTCAAGGCATGGGTCTAGGTGCTGAGAATTCATTCTTCCCTTATTTTTATTAGCTGAGAATAGCACCCTACAAAGAGTGCTTTAAAATATTTAAATGTATGCCTACATATTTTAAACTTTAGAAAGCAGAGGAGGAATTGTCATCATCATCTAATTTGAAACCCCAAGTAATTCCTAATTCTGTTTCCAAATACTACTACTTTTTTTTCTTAATTTTATTTTTTACTTGAGGTGTAGTTGATTTGCAGTGTTAGTTTCTGGTGTACAGCAAAGTGATTCAGTTATACATATACATACATTCATATTTTTTTCAGATTCTTTTCCATCATATGTTATTACAAGAAATTGAATATAGTTCCCTGTGCTATACAGTATGTCTTTGTTG